AGTTTAGGTGAACTTTTGAGAGTTTTTCCGGGGGAAGTTCCGCCGTCCTCGAATATCTGCTTTGCGTGAGTTGCATTCTTATTCATAAAAATGAAATATTGTAAAAAAACTTACAGTTTAACAGCGCGATAAATAGAATTGGAATTTTTTGACATTATTCGCCTCTTTCCTAGGCACAAAAAAAGAGAATCTTCAATCATAAATGATGAATGAAATTTTACATGGAACATATTGAATTCAGCTTTGCTGTTTATAGATTTTTACAGATCAATGAATATTTCAGCACATACGTTTTAAATAATTTAAAAAATTGTTTCGAATATTAATATCAATTATTTAACAATATGAATTTAATGATATTATTATTATTACATAATACAATATTTATATAAAATATTATGAAAATATTAATTGCGTGTTTCTATTATTTATTTGTATTTATATTTTTTATTTATATTTTATGGATTATGAATTTAGTTAAAAAAAAATTAAGGGTTTTTTTGACACTAATGTATGCAATATAAATAAGAAAGAAAAACATAACTAATAGTATTGTTGATAAAATTATATTAAATTTCTTTGAAGATTTACATCACATTATATCGAAAATTATTAATTAAATAATGTCTTATTATTTGCATCAAATTGTTTGTCTTTAATTAAAAGATTAGTGATAATTTTCAATGATAATTACACTAACATTACTTCAATTCTGATAATTAAAGAATATTTGTGATAAAAATATTGCATTACTAATTTTATGCGTTTTAATTTGTATGAAAAATAAAAAGCGGAAATAAATTTTATCTAATCTGTTAAAAAAATTTATAGAAGATGCGAAAAGAAATCGAAATTGAAGATGAAGGAATGACAAATGAAACGGATCGGAATAATGAGGAATAATCATTAAGGGTTTTTATTGAAAAGTCCTATTATCAACGCGAGACTAGTCCTGTGAGAGTACCTACTTCCTTTAGCAGGAACTCCTCCCATGAACGTTGTGCACGTAATTGCCGACCAAGGAAGCTGAGCTTCGAGGTCGCTAATTCTTTTAACAGTCCAAAAAATGGCGGGAATAGTTCGGATAAGAGACAAAAGTATCTTTAGGTATTTCTAATTAGAGAATAATATAATTCAAAAGAAGTTTATTTATTTAAATTTTGTTATTTAAATTCTTCATATAGTTAAAAATATGTAACATTTTTAATGAACTGTGATAAGTTAAAAATTAAATTTTTATAAATTAAAAACAATTTTCTAAAAGCTTTAGAAAACGTGTAATTTTATAATATTATACTTATTTTTAATTAATAATTGATGTGTTATAATGAATACTGATTAAGTTCAATTTATAAAAAAAAAATTGATTAAAAATGTTCAATTTTTTAACTACAGTTACTAAGGAAAAGAAGTTTTATTATATGTTTTTATACAAACACATATTGTTACTTATATATAATGTATAAAATAGTTTCTGTATTATACTAATACAGAAATTTAATATGTAATACATACCGATTAAATTTAATTTATCAAAATTTGTTAAATTTATTACGGTAATCTTTTAATTGCATATAGTTATATATAGGTAAAATTGCATATAGGTAAAAAAAAAACATTTTTATGTATTTTGATACAGATACACATATTATTACTTATTACATAAGTTTTTGCATATTAGTTTACATTTTTTAAAGATTCACATTTTTTTTAAATCCACATTTTTTTTAAAGACAATTTATGTCTTTAAAAAAATGTGGATTTTATTGAGATTGTATATAGAAGGTATTATATTATAATATTATTTATATTGCTACTATGTGTTGCTGCTAAAAAATAAGCTTACATGAGAAAAATATTATTTCAAATATTATTAAGTTTTTTATAAAGTATTTATATGAACTATTTCTTAGCAACTATCTTATACAACTACTTCTTTTGCTGTACATAGAATTTGAAAAACAT